TCCTCCCTATATTCACTTTTAGGATAAACCATTAATATTTTTATACTATATATTTTAAAACCAAAATCCAGGCATATGTTGACTTTATTCTCTTAGAACCAAGATACTGATAAAATATATATAATTTAAAATAATTGAGTTGAGTATATAGCTTAATGTATTTGATGTCTAGTACCACTACCAAAAAAAAAAAGTTTTAAAAACTTGAACTCAGTGATGTGGGGTAAACCTTGGCTTTTTTTCCTTCTTGATTTTGAAAGTAATGCATGCTTTTCTTAGATGCATTTAGCTGCAAGTAACAGATAAGTTATTTTTATTTACTTATTTTTTTGTCGGTCATGGGGCTTGAACTCTGGGCCTGGGCACTGTCCTTCAGCTCTTCAGCTCAAGGCGAGCAAAGCACTCTACAACTTGAGCCACAGCACCATTTCCGGTTTTCTGGTGGTTTATTGTAGATAAGAATCTCACAGACTTTCCTGCCTGGGCTGGCTTTTGAACCGTGATCCTCAGATCTCAGCCTCCTTAATAGCTAGGATTACAGGTGTGAGCCACCAGGGACCGGCTTAAACTTTTATTTTTTTAAGATTTTTGAGGAAGGGAAGTTTTCAGATTGAGTCACTTAAACTCAACCATACAAGCTCCTTACATTGTTTCTCTGTTGCCCTTAGTGTGTTGGCTTTTGTTCTCATGCTATAGAGATGTGTGCAGGAATAGCAAACACAACAGCTTCTAACCACAGTGTTCAAAGGCAGAAAAGGAAAGGAAAAGTTCCTTTCTTAAGACAGTTTTTTTAAAAAAATTTATTTATTTTTTGCCATCCTGGGACTTGAACTCAGGGCCTGAGCTTTTGCTTAAGGCTAGTGCTCTACCACTTTAGCCACAGCACCACTTCTGGCTTTTTCTGTTTATGTGGTACTTAGGAATTGAACCCAGTGCTTCATGCATGGTAGGCAAGCACTCCACCACTAGACCACATTCTCAGCCCTCTTAAGCCAGTTTTAAAGAATATTGAAAGGAACTACTCTTACCTGCTCTCGACCATTCCTACTCAGTGATGTGTCTTTAAGCCATATGCTCATTTTTCAACTAATCTTTGTTGAGGAAAACGGAGTTGTTTTGATTGAATTTAACTAATCATAGTTTCTCCTTTGGGCTAAGCCTCGTCTGTGGTAATTGGTTAGGGATAGAAATCAGTACCTCTTAAAGAGAAAAACATTTAGATAGATGGTGATTAGGTGAGACCTAGTTCTCTTCAAAGAGCTTGGTGTGTCATGTAAATGATAGGAATCAGTAGCTCAGTGGTAGAGCTCGTGCCTAGCAGAGAGGTCCTGAGTTCAAACTCCAATACTGACAAAATAAAAACTACCAATTTTTCTTAGTATAAAATTAAAATATTTTTATTTAAAATTAAGTTAGTCCTGAAATGAACAAAACAAGCAGTGAAAGCTTCTATAATTGGGCTTTGTTGAAAGGCTGGATTAAAGGCAAAGGATGTCTGTTGTCCATATCACCTGATGTGGGTAGCAGTTTGGTATGTCCGAAGAGCCAGAATTGTTTTGTACTAGATTGTAAACATTTGCCCCTCACAAGGAATGCTGGAAATCATTTTTTGAGGTCACAGGAAGTTATCTATATAGGCAGTAGTTGATTTGCTATGTATATGAGTGATGCACACTCTTACCCTACAGTGGTCCAGATATTCTTTGGGAACATACAGAAAATATATCATGAGGTTTGTCACTGTTTTCCTGTTCAAACTAGAGTGAAGCCTCAAGAAGGTGGTGAAGCAGTGAAAGATCAAAATAAAGGAATCTCATCAGTTAGCGTTTTCTGGACTGTGCCAGATGGAGTATTCTACGAGAATTTTGTTAGAAAAGCCTTTAGAGATAACTTAAGGATTCACTGTCCTGATAGTTTTGATGCCTTTTCATTGGTCTATATTGCTTCATCTTTAAAATGAAACTTTTGCCTTCTCTTACTGAAATTTGTTGGGAAGAAAGAAATACTTAGAAAGTAGTACAAAGACAATTTTGAAACAGCATTTTTTATCTTAGGTGTGGATAGTGTTTGTCTAATGTTTATTGAGTGTGTGTGTGATACTTGTTATTGAACTGCATTTCAAAAGAGGAAATGGAATACTTATCAAATATAAGGACAGCTGTAAGAGATATCGTGAAGTGAATTGACCTGAAATGAATTGATTTTTTTTTAATCCACCAATTTTCAAGTCTAATGTGAGTCTTTTTATGTACGTATCAAAATGAAAGGTCAACAGTTGAACTTTGTTAACCTCAGCATAGTTTATAATAGAGTGAGTATATCACACGTATTAGTCAAGATAAATGCTAAAATTTAAACATGAATCATGCATTATTCCAGGCACACCAGAAAATATAGCTTTAATTACAAGGGATTTTCATGTTTGCTAACAAATTGTATCTCCCTAAATTTTTATTCTTTTTTTCCCCTGAATTTCAAAATATTGTACAAGGGGGTTCCAGTTTAACCTACTTGTCTTAGTATCCAGAACTGTACTTCTTGGTCAGAGTCAGTACCCCCTTCCATCATTCTCCCTAATCATACCTCCCAGCAGACTTGTTTCACATTTGCACTTCATCACATATGTCATTAGATTTTTTAAAGCACAGAATTTGAATAATAAACTTAACATAATCTAAAATATATCTTAGGCTGCAAACCAAGGGTCAAAATTCAAAGACCGTCGGCTACAAATATCATGGCACAAACCCAAGGTACCATCTATATCCACTGAGACGGAGGAGGAAGAAGTCAAAGAGGAGGTAAATTCAAGAACTCAAGAGTTGAATTGGAACATATCCCATTTTATATTTTTCTTAACCTGAAATAGTATAAGTTTTAAGTAAGACTGTGTTTTCTTGCATGCATACAGTTAATAATCAACCTCTTAAAGTGTGAATTAGTTTTGCTTTTTAATTTTGTGTTTATTACCAGTTTATTAAAGTGAAAATTATTTCTGATTGCATAATCTTAGTTTTAAAGATAGCAAGCATTTATAGTTGATGAAGCATTTTTTGACTGTGTACTTTTATATAACATAAAACAGGAAATGTTCCCTATATAAAGAGAAACAAAAAAAACTGGTCATAGTGCCAGTAGTCCCAGTTACTGAGAAGACAGAAATTAGGAGGATTATATTTCCAGGTCACCTTGGGAAAAAATTATTAGCTCTTATCTGAAAACAAAAACAAAAAACCACAAAAAGCAAAAGGACTGGAAGAATTGCTCAAATGTGATAGCCCTGATGAATTCAGTCAGAAGAATCACAAAAAAGAAAAAACAACACATTTTGATAATATTTGTAGATACTTTGCTGTGAATGAGTTTTTTTTTTTTTTTTTTAATGCCATCCTGGGGCTTGGTGCCTGGGTGCTGTTCCTGAGCTTTTGTACTCAAGGCTAGTGCTCTATCACTGAACCACTTTTCTGCTTCCAGCTTTCTTGATAGTTTAAATGGAGATAAGAGTCTTATAGACTTTTCTGCCCAGGCTGGCTTTGAATTGCAATACTCAGATCTTAGATTCCTGAATAGTTAAGATTACAGGTGTAAGTCACCAGTGCTTGGCTATGCTTTAGATTTTCATATAACATTTGGAATAACAAATGTTATAATGGTATAATGGAGGTTATATATTTTCTCCTCAAAAATAATTGGATTTTACATTTATGTTTCTTATTTTTAAGTAAATGGAATAAACCTCAATCTTAGTTTTTATTAGAGATGCTTCTTATAAGTATTTTTTCCTATAATTTCTCATATCCAGCCTGTATTTACTTTATGCTCCTGATGATGTTATATAAACAAAAGATAAGAATTTATATTCATTTAAAAAACGTTATTTAGGCATAGGAAGAGATTAGTTAACAAGTACGAAACCACACCAGACAAGAAGAATAATTCTATTTTGTTGTACAGAGAATGGGTATTGTTAGCAGTATTGTATAATTTAAAATAGCTAGAGGAAAGGAGTGTTTTGTATGATGAATATTCTCATCACACAAAAATTAAAATCATTTGTGTGTGTATATATATATATATATATATATATATACACACACACACACACACTTAGTTGATTAATCTATAATGTTTAAATATATCAGACTACCACACTGTACTCCATAAAGATGTGCCATTATTATTTGTTAAAGAAATTAATTTTTTGTCTGTTGTTTTGGCCCTAAAAGAAACTACTCAGAATGTATCACTAGTAAATCTAGTCTGTCTTAGTTTGTTTCTCCTAATGTTCATGTGCCTTCATTTCTTCAGGAAACAGAAACCTCAGATTTGTTCTTGCATGATGATGACGATGAAGATGAAGATGAATATGAGTCTCGTTCATGGCGAAGATGAAATCTGATGCGAGCTGTATAATTTTTAGGAATATTGTTTAGAAGAACAACTTTTTAAAATTATTTAAAGAAGTCAATGAGCCAAAAAAAATTTATTTTTCTTTTCAGCACAATAGGTTTAAGGACAGCAACTTTGCTATTTAAACACATCTCATAATTGTACATGATACTAAAGCACCAAAGGCCTAGTGTCTCTTACACAGTTGTGAAGACCCACAGGAATGACATGGATCTAGAGCCTTACTTTCCACACCTCCTGTTTTTGTTGCTGTTGGTGTTGGATTATGATGTAAATGACAGGGTGTTCAGAAATCTTATTTTTATTATAATCTGCTGATAAAATTTCATTAAATGTCAAAATCGCCTGGAATCTCTTAACTCACCTATTATGAATGGGTCGTCAGACAGGAGATATTTGTAATTAAAAAACCCTTTGCTTTCAAGAGTTGTTTTGGAAGAGAAGTAAATTTAATTTTTTTTTTAAATGGTAGAGTCTAATTTGTATTGAACATCAAGTTGTTTTCAGAGTTTTTCTGTGTAGTAGTTTGCCAGTGGAAATCCCAGCTAACTGTGTCCATCTGTGCTGCAGGATGTGCTGCCCCCCCCCCCCCCCCCCCCCATGCTAACTGCTGACTTTGCTGCCTCCCACCCTTGGCTTTTTAACCTCAAAATGTAAAAGGCTTGTACCTATTGCCTCCTTTGAATCCCCCACTTTTCTTCCTCATCCCTTTTTATAATAGGCCTAATTTATAGAGATAAGTGCTTCTATTGGGCCATCAAGAGTCAGACCTCAATAAGGTTTATACTAGCACTTCAATAAATAATAAATGTTTTGATGAGAATAAAGGAAGGATTTTTAGGGGAAAAAATTGCCAGCTTTTTTTCTTTTAAAGCTTCAGTTTAGTTATAGTTACACAAAAGGATTAAAAAGTATCTAAAATTCTTTGATTAAATTTAAACCATGTTGGTGAGGTACCTGGAGGGAGGGGATGGGGAGGATACTGGGTGTGCTAGTAATAAGTGGAGTCCTAACTAGACATTGGTCAGATGATCTTACATTTTCCTAATTTTGTAGCTTGTTGCTTTCCACAAACATACGCATACTTCAGTAGGCAGTTTCCTTTACTGTGTGCATTTTTACTGTACACTGTATAGAGTATCTGTTAAGTAAAATATATATGTAAATTTATGTCCTTGTATTCCAAATGTTAGATGGAAAAGCAGAGGAGCAACACTTCACTTTTCTGGCCCCTGGGGAAATAAAATGATTAATGTACATAGGATGTCACTTTTTCAAAGATATCTACATCTGTGTTTTTAATGTGTGTGGTAATATAAAAATTTGAAACTTCCTGTTGGCTTCAGTGTTCTTGGTGATCAGTATAGCAAGAGTTTTGTTTCCTGAGGTAGACTTTCTCAAAATAGAAACTATTCACTAAGAAACTTAAAACCATCAGGACTGTAGATTGACTTAGTAGCAAGAAGTTAAATCCCATATTCTGTTCATCCTTTTCCCTTCTACATGTTGTCATTTTTAAGTTCATGTACTTCTCCTTTCATAATAAGGGCCTGCTTCTAAGTTACTGTGTTTCTGATCGCACTGAAGCTAAAATAAGCTCAGATGAAGAATGGGGAACCTACAGTAAGCAATCTTGCTCCTTAGTCCTCCATCAACTCTAATGAAATTTTCCTAATGTCTGTGGCTCAGTCAGTATATATTTTGAAAGATTCATTGTGGTGAATATTTTGAGTCCTAACAGTTTAAGCGTGATAGAGGGAACAAAGGATTTATATATTTTTTGTACAAAGTTTTTTCTTAAACTGTATAATTTTGTAAATAATTTGTTTGGGTTTTTTTTTTTTCTTTTGTGTACTAAAACTACCAGCGTATAGATTTCAATAAGAATTGTTGTATTTTTGTATTTGGGAACTGAGAATTACAGTAAATTAATGGAGCTGTAAGAAAATTTTCGGTAGACAGTTGACAGAATGAAATTCCTTTTCATATGATTTTTTAACCTCAAAATTAATATCTTATTACATTGACTATAGAGAGAGTTGAGGATTTGTTTGACTCTTTAGTTATTGGGGACAGGGAATGAAAGAGAAAGGTACAGAAAGGAAGAACAGATAGGTTTTTGTTGGTTTGTTTTTTAATTAAGGTTTACAGTCCTTTGTATAAAACGAATTTTCAGTATACTTAGGTAGAACTAAAATATTTTTAAATGTCCTTCCTACAAATCCTAAAACATGTTTGACTCTTGAAAATGAATTAAAAGTATGGATTAATTAATTATATTATAAAATCCCAAGTTAGTATAGATTATATATACATACATACACATTGGCCCCTCCCCCTCCCCACCTTAGGATTGTTTTTCCCCTACGAGTCCCCACCTGTTAGGTTTCTCTTAAAAGTGAATAGCTACCATGACTTGTTTTCTTCATGTCTTTATTTACAGAAGTAACTTACAGCATCAGAGGCAAATTCTGCTGTTCTTAATGTGTATGATACCTTTTACAAGTAGCTGATCAGCAACAACAGCCACCAATCTGGCTAGGTCGGTCTGATTTATTAGATTTCTACCCGAGCCTACAAACGTAACCCCAAGGAATGGAAACTTCCCTCAATTTCTTCATGGAACATTGAGAAAATATTGTCACCAGCTAAGAGGAAACAATTGGAAAGCAGTCTTGTTACGATTGAAAAAGGCCCATGGTGATGGATCATTATTTCAAAAAGAAAAAAATCATGTGAAAAGGAATAGTGGTTCCTCTTGATGTATAGTATGCCTGTATTATAGTTTTTACAAAATTGTGAACTTGTGTAATAGTATAATAGGAGATATTGTTGAATTTCTAACTGTTTATACATTTAAATTCATATATGTAATGTTTGTTTTATCAATTACAATCTGAATTTCTAAGAAGCATGTTGACTTTTGCAATAAAGATGCAATATGGAATGGTTCACAGTTGGGGAAAAAAAAGAAAAGAAAAAAGATGAAAGTATTAAAATTAAAAAAAAATTTGGAAAACTTATGAACCATTCCAAAAATTATAACAATCACCAAAAGAGCTGTAATTCTGGCTTGTTCTGGAAAGAAAGAAAATTGTGTGTGTGTGTGTGTGTGTGTGTGTGTGTACATGCATGTGCTTGTGAGTGAATAGTAGGTTGGGCTGTATGTTTTATGTTGGGCTCATGGACATATGAATGCTCCTCTATATGAAGTTCAAAGCCACTGGTTGTAGATACCCAGTAGAATTGATCTCAGGGGTCTGGACAATGAAAGAGAAGGTTATTAGGGACACAGGACCTCAAGTGCTGAGAATTAAAGAGCGGTCTGGGGTACAAGGAGAAAACCCTGAAAAAAGATTCCTGTAAGTAAATATAGACACTTAAAAAAAATGAGTAGATAATACCAGATAAAAAGAACAACTTTATGAAAACATTCTTAGGATACCATGAGAATATTCAACAGCAGTAAGGACATTTTCCTTAAGTAGAATCGGAAAAAAAGGGAAGAGATGACATAACAGATACATGAGTTTTAAATGTTATGAAGGATTGTAAGGAGAAACAGGAGAAGGCAGAGATCTTCATACTAAGGACTGGGTGGTAATGGGAAAGGAAAGGGAAGTATATCACCTAAGCTCCTGTTGCTGTAAAAACTCCCCCCCCCCCCCCCCCCCCCCCCCCCCCCGCTAGTGGTGGTAGTACTGGGTAGTTTTGAACTCAGGATTTTGAGTTTGCTAGGCAAGTGCTCTACCACTTGAATCTTGCCCCTGATATCCACCGCCCCCCCCCCCTCTTTTTTTTGCCTTTTCCATGACATGTAAGAGTTCATACATTTCTTGCATAGAGATAGTTGTCCATGTTTGGCTTATCTGTTGAGGTAGGGGTCTGGGTAACCTTTTGTCCAGACTGGCCTCTAATCATGAAACTTGATATCTGCTATACGTGGCCTACATAAATACTTGAAGTGCTTATACGTTATCTAAGAAGGACCATTAAGTTTCAGCTTACTTAAGAAAATACTAAAGTAAATTCTACTTTTTGTTGTTATTTTGTTTATGTGGTACTGAGGAGTTGTACCCAGGGCCTGACTCATGCTAGGCAAACATTCTACAACTAAACCACATTCCCAGCCCCAAACAGCTTTTTTCAAGTAAATTTTATTCATATTGTATATAGTATGTAAATGGAAAACTGTATGTAGCTATTTGAATAAATCGTAGATATCTTTAATTCTTATCTCTGGGACTTTTGGAAGGAGCAGGCATTCTGAACATAATGGTATTAAGAGCAATTTCATAAACAGAAACCATGGTGAAACGATTTCCACCCCTACTCTGGAAAAGAACTGAGTAAAAAATAGCTGTGAAATATAGGACTTAATGGATCAGCCAGGCACTGGTAGCTCACATTTGTAAATCCTAGATAGGAAGCTGAGATTTAAGGAACTTGGTTCAAAGCCAGACTGAGGCTTATCTCCAGTTAACAAGCAAGAAGCTGGAAATGGAGATGTGGCTCAGCTGGGCACTGGTGGCTTTCATCTGTAACCCTAACTGCTCAGGAGGTTGAGATCAAGGATCACTATAAAAAACCAAAAACACAAAAACCCCTCCAATCTAGCACTAAAACAAGTGGAACTGTGGCTCAAGTAGTAGAGCAGCCACTTGAGTAGAAAGTTCCGGGACAGCTCCTAGGCCCTGGGTTCCAAAAATTAAGTTCAATGTTTTGCTAAAATGGAACTCAGATGAACAGAAAAGACCATTTGTGTGTGTGTGTGTGTGTGTGTGTGTGTAACTGATGTGCTACCATTTGTGTGTGTGTGTGTGTGTGTGTGTGTGTGTGTAACTGATGTGCTAAAGCCAAGGGTAAATTAAATGAGTTTCCGGATCACAGGATTTGTGTGGTTTTGAATCTTGAATGATAGTAAAGGCTGTTTTAGACCAAATGAGACCAACACTAGCTCACAGGGCAAACCTCGTTTTGTAAGCTTTTTTTTTTAATCACAAAGATATACTTAAGGAGCCAGTCATGATGGACTCATCAAAGCTAATATTGGCACTGCATGTATTATAAATTACCTTCATTTCTGCTAAAAGGGATCTTCTTCCAACAAGATTCCCTACCATTTGTCCTCATACCTTTCTGTAATCAACCTTGGGTTAATGAAACCATCCAGCATTCTGAGATAGGTGATTTGATACAGGTGAAATGAAGGTCAGAATAGTGTTTGATAAATGCTCTCAAGATTTTTCTTTTTTGGTAGCGGTGGTGGTTGTAGTCAATAAGTATGACAAATACAGCTGTTACGTTTTTGGCCATGTTAAATTTTCTCCTTTCGTGACAGGAGCATGAGGAGGACGGTCTGTTAGCTGTTTTAGATGAAAAGATTTCATCAATGTACTTGATTTTGTTGTTATTGTTGCTGGTTTTGGGGCTTGCCTACCACTGTGAACCACAACCCCGCTTCTGGTTTTCTGGTGGTTAATTGGAGTAAGAGTTCCAAGGACTTCCTTGCCCCTGCTGGCTTTGAATCACAATCAGATCTCAGCCTCCTCAGTAGCTAGGATTACAAGCATGAGCCACCAGCACCTGGCTTATTTGATTTTTTTTAACAAGTACTGGGGTTTTAATTGTGGCCTGGAATTTTGGAACTTTCTTGGTGGGAGCCATGTTTCAGCCCAGCCTCCCTCCCCGTTCACCCTCTCCCCCCAGCCGATATCTTGAAGATGGAGTTTCACATACTCTTCTGCTCTGGTTGCCTTTGAACTGTGATCCTCTGGATCTCAGACTCCTGAGAGGCTGAAATTCATTTGAGGGCTGCCAGCCACCAGTGTCCAGCCACCTTTGTTTTTTCTAGCATATATTGTAGAAAGGGGACTTCATTCTAACATTTCCACACATGTACACAATGTATCCTTATCTACCTCACCACCTCCCATCCCACTTACCTTTCTTAAAACAGTTTCATTGGGTTTTATTGTTCTGTTTTGTACATGCAAATAAACTATGTCCACCCTATTCACCCTTTTCCTTAGCCCTCCTCCCTCCTGCCCCCTCAGAGCCTGTTTTACTCTCCTGTCATTTGTTTTTAGTGTGGATTAATTGCATCAAAGGGCTTCATTATAGTGTTTCAGACATGCATATGTAATGCTTTGCTCAGAATCACCCTCTTACTGCTTTCTGTCCCCCCTTCCCCGTCCCCCCCCCCATCCCTTGGGATCAACAGCTTTCATTGAAGTTTGGTAATGTGGTCTTCATACATAAGACTGTTAGATCATTCTGTTTCTAACCACTTTCTGGAGCTCTGCTATGATGCAGTGATACATTAATTTTATTTTTTGTGCCAATACTGCACCTTGAACTCAGTGCCTTAATCACTGTTCCTTAGCTTTTTGCTGAAGACTGATGCTCTACCATTTGAACCACATCTCCACTCCAGCTTTTTGCTGGTCAATTGAGTCTCACAGTCTGGTTTTGAATCAAGCTCCTCTGATCTCTACCTACTGGGTAGCTAGGTTTACAAATGTGAGCTATGAGTGCTTGGCTGATCCATTATTTCTTACATTTCACAAGTGTTGTTTACCCCAATTATTTTGCAGAATAGGGGTGGAAATCATTCTGCATGTGTCTGTTGATAAAATTATTTTCAAATGTTATAAGCACAGATTGGTTGTATGACTTCATTGTGTCATTTCTATATATACATACATATTCTCATCAAACTCACTCCTGTATCAATTTTGACCCTCAACGCCTTTCTAAAGCAATTTGTGAGTAAAATTCTTCACACAGCTTTGTTATATACCTGATAAAGGTGGATGTCTTTCTAAAGTCATTTCTCCAGAGATCTCTTGTGTGACATTGCTGCATTTCTCCTACTAGCTTTAAGTGCGATAGGACAAACACAGACTTTGTAAATAAGCTTTGTGCTTGAGGATGATTTTGCTACCAGATGTTCAGTTGGGGTGCTTAGATTGAGCGCTGCTTGGTTACCTGTGCAAACATGGGCTTTTACATAAAGTATTGAACCCTGAATTACCACCCACAAAAGTGTTATTTACTCTGTTAGGATTGTGCTTAGCCTTTGGAGTCTGTAGGGGGCTCCAAAAGGCAAAATTTAGTCTTAGAGCTGTGGCTGAGTATTCTCAAAGCAACAAAATGTGAGAGACATTATGCGTTATTACCCAGGATACAGCAACCAAAAGTTTACGTAGCAATCCCTAGTTTCTACACTTGATGTTTTTATTCTCTTACATAACAGTGCAAAATGAACAAAATGATACTTAGATTTGATATAGAATACACCTTTACTATTTTTATTCTATTAAGTAAAAATTATTGCCTGGGACCATTTTTGACCTTTTTCAGTTTAGAAAACTAGCCTTTTGAGTTATAGCACTGATTACATTTGGAATCCCTGTCTTCCTTACTTTGACGTCCTGTATAAAATGTGTATAGGTAGTATAAAATATATCTATCTTACATATTTATTTTGCTTACAAAAATAGTCTGAAGTTGGCCTTTCATCTTTAAAAGTGGACATGCATACATAAATTTTTAAAATCAGTTATGTGTTACTTTTTCTTGAAACTAAACAATTTTATTGTTTTAAAAATAGACAATTTTTTTTTTTTGCATACCAGTATCGGGCTTAAACTCAGGGATTGGCGCTATCGTTTGGCTTTTCCACTCAAGACTGGCACTGTACAATTTGAGCCATACCTCCAGTTTCTGTTTTTTTTCCTGGATAATTGGAAATGAGATTCTCATGGATTATTCTGCTTGAGCCTGGCTTTGAACATTAATTCTCAGATTTCAGCCCTTTGAGTAGCTAAGATTATAGTCCTGAGCCACCAGTGCCTGGTAATAGCTTCTGAGTGACTTTAAGCCTGCTTAGAATTTGTATAGTTTTGACATTGCTTACTTTGGGAAAGTAAGGGAATGTCAGTGTACTGGTGCTACTTTTTATACAATTCAAG